TTACACCTCCCTGCATGTGACTTGCACAGCCTCTATAAACACTTCCTGTAAAGAGTCATCTACAATTTATCCTTCCTTTATTACAAGTTCTGTTTAATTTAGATTTGCTTAGCCCCTGCTATGTTAATAGCTTGCTAGACACTGCAGGTGCCTCCTGCATGGGATTAAAGTTCAATTTACAGAGCAAGAGATAAAATTATTTGAGGTAAATTACATCTGATTGAAAGTGAAACCAGTTTTTTGGGGTTTTTTTCACGCAGGCTCTGTCAATCAGAGCCAGGGGAGGTGTGATAAGGGCTGCATAAACAGAAACAAAAGTGATTTAACTCCTAAATGGCAGAGAACTGAGCAGAGAAACCTGAGAGGCATGATCTATACACTAAAACAGCTTCATTAAGCTAAAGTTGTTTAGGTGACTACAGTGTCCCTTTAAATCCCTGCTCACACCAAGGAGTCCCAAGTATCAATGGATTCATTGGGCTCCCCTCTGTCATCTTGGGCCATTTTTAGTGGACCCAGAGTTTTTGTTGAGCTGTTTGCATTGCTGGACGTCAGCTCTTTAAATAGACATGCCTATAACTAGATTGTAGTGTGAGCAGATTTAAATCCATGCTCACACATACAGCCAATGTATCAATGGATACTTGGGGCTCTGTTCTGTCAGCAGGGGCCTTTTTTAGTCTCATATATGACACTATAACTTCACAGGATAGTGGCAAGGGCATACATTGGGGGTATCGTACTTAGAAGATGTAGCTGAACACATTATGGGATTTTGCACAGTATCAGAACACATCAGGTTTCAAAATACACAAAAAAAACCTTGTTACATGTGTGTATGTTAAAAGTAAAAAAAATACTCAATAATTTAGGAGATATTCGCAGTTAAATGGCTATATAATAAGTGTCAAAATACCCTTAGTTAAATAGCCTGTGATTTCTACTTTATATAAATATATACTTTTGTGTGGCAGTTTTATTTTCTGTGACGGCTATTAAAAGGAACACTATAAGGTCGGAAATACAAGTGTGTATTCCTGACCCTATAGTGTTAAAAACACTATTTAGGTAGTTGACCCCCCTTTACCACCATTTTAATAGGAGAAAAACTCATCTTTATTCCATATAGTATGTCCCTGTAAACACTGCCTTTTCAGGGAATGGGAAAGCATTGAATTGGTTAATGTTGATGATCTCAGCCAATCCAATGATTTCCTATATAAAAGCATTATGATCTCTTGTGTGCATGGGTGACAAAACGCTGCTCTGAACCATTCAGATGGTCTCTCTAAGACCACCTAATTAATAGCATATTGAAAGCAAGTAAAGGCAGGTTAACCTTGCAAAGAAAACATTGCAGGCCAGCAATGAATTAAACAGCAATGCAGGGTTAAAAAAAAGGGGGGGGGGAAGAGGGGAGTAGACATGGCACCTAGACACTTCATTGAGATAAAGTAGCCTAGGTGCCTATAGTGTTCCTTTAAGCCAGAAAATGCAATAACAAGTATTAACTTATATTTAGATAGCTGTGTCAGCATACAGTGTAACAAAAGTCACAATAGTGCTGTATGGGGCAACATTGTATTCCCCATGATTGTAAACAAAGAAAATGCTGTGACATGTAACTCCAGTTACACACAACATAACTTATTGAGCCTCAGAACGAACAACTCCTTACCCAATCCATATGTATTCCATAAAACTGCTGCAATGCTTTCATAAGGGAATTTAACATGTATTCCTGACCCTATAGTGTTAAAAACACCATCTAGCCCCCCTGCTCTCCTAAATATAGCCAAATTTTACCTTTATTGTAGTCTGCTGCTGCTGGCTATGCCCCTGATCTGCCTGCTTGGCTGAAATCATCAGAAGTTGTGTTCTGAGCCAATCAGAATGCATTCCCATAGGATTGGCTGAGACTGTCAAGGAGGCAGATCTGGGTCAGAGCCACCACAAATCAAACAAAGCCCTGGCCAATCAGCATCTCCTCATATAGATACATTGAATCAATGCATTTCTATGAGGAAAGTTCAGCGTCTCTATGCAGAGGATGGAGACACTGAATTGCAGTACTGCACAGTGTGCAGCACTGCCCCAGGAAGCACCTCTTGTATCCATCTGAGGAATGGCCACTGGAGTTATCACTAGGCTGTAATGTAAACACTGCATTTTCTTACTGCAAAAAGTCTGAAGGGAATGATTCTACTCACAAGAACAAATACAATAAGCTGTAGTTGTTCTGGTGTCTATAGTGTCCCTCTAACATAAGTGAAACTCATAGCACCATAACCACTCCTCAATGTATATTTATGATGCCATCCCCTTGTTTTCTATCAAATTGCTTTCAAGAAGTCTGATAAAAACCTCAGCTTTCCGCAGCAAACAGATTCTCGCCCACTGTCGTACAAACCGCGGTCGCAGCTGCGACCAGGCCGAACCGGGTATGTACGCCAGTGCGGCTACGGTCACATTTTGTCAGCCTCTTCTCCTGGGGGGCCCAGGAGCTGACCACCTCAGGGCTCACCGAGGCTGGCAATGGTGTCAATCTGCGGGCGTGCGTGCGAGGAAGCATTCTCCCCTGAGCGCTCTCTGCCCAGCTCCCTCGCGCGCACCGCAGTGATGCCGTAGCCGGAATATGACGTCACTCCGGTTCCATTAAGCGCCGCGCAAGGGAGCTGAACAGGAGGATCAGTGCTCCTTCGCCGCCTGCAGTAACCGGCCGTCCAGCAGCCCCACTGGAACCCAGGGAAATCTGGAATCCCCTCAGCACTCCCAAAAGGTAGGGGGATTAAATAAAAAAAAAATATATGTGTGTGTATATATCAGTGAGTGTGTTACTGTGTGTGTGTGCGTGTCTGTTAGTGAGTGTGTGTTTTGTAAGTGTGTATGTATGTGTCACTGAGTGTGTGTCTGTTAGCTAGTGTGTATGCGTCTGTTAGTGAGAGTGTGTGCGTATCTGTTCGTTAGTGAGAGTGTATATGTGTTTGTCAGTAAGTGTGTATGTGGGTCTGTCACTGAGTGTGTGTTTGTATGTGGGTCTGTATGTGTATCTGAATGTTTGTCATTAAATGACCACTATAGTGCCAGGAAAACAAACTCGTTCTCCTGGCACTATATAGTCCTTAGCAGCAGACCCTCCCTCCCAGACCCTCCCACCTCCTGGACAACTCACTAAGAATGCAGCTTCACAATGGATGCTGTCCAGGAGGTGGGAGGGTCTGCTGCTGATTGGCTGGAATGTGTCTGCTGACTGTGAGGTACAGGGTCAAAGTTTACTCAATGATGAGTCCACGGCGAACCGTTCGGCAAACAGTTCGGGACATCACTAGTAGATAGTGATAGTAATACTAAAGAAGTTGTTATAGTGCCCGGAGTGATTCTAAGTTTTATTTATTGAGGATCCAGACTGGTAGTTCTTTATTGCTGTACATGTATTTTATGACAAGGTGCTGTGTGGAACTTTTAATACTGAACTGAGAATATAATGCTGGTGACAGGTACCCCAAGGAAGACAGAAGACAAGGCATATGTGAGATTGATTTTAATTCTTGGACAGTGCTCATCACTCTGACTCAAAAATCCAGATTTGCTTTAGGGCATGGGTCCTCAAACTCCGGCCCCCCAGCTGTTGCTGAACTACAACTCCCATGATTCTCTGGCCAGCTATGCAATTCAAAGAATCATGGGAGTTCTAGTTCAGCAACATCTGGGGAGCCGGAGTTTGAGGACCCATGCTTTAGGGTAACTCCTTATTACAGGCAGATTATAACAATAATGGCAACTTCCAGGTTTGTCTAGCTACTTCCAGCATTTAGAAGCCTCTATGGTGACATTCAAGGCTTAATTTACTCAACTCTGAATTGTAGAGATTAGAAATCCAAATAGTTAACTCTCAACAAAAATAACTAAACTATTTTCTCCAACTCAGCTACAGTCATAACCTTCCTATACATTGCCAATCAGATTTCAATTTACTAAAGTTTTCATAGTATAGTAAATAAATCCCTCAGTGTTAAGATAAAGGATATCTCTTAAAGGACCACTCTAGGCACCCAGACCACTTCAGCTTAATGAAGTGGTCTGGGTGCCTGGTCCATCTAGGGTTAACCCATTTTTTTTTATATAAACATAGCAGTTTCAGAGAAACTGCTATGTTTGTAAATGGGTTAATCCTTCCTCCAATTCCTCTAGTGGCTGTCTCATTGACAGCCGCTAGAGGCGCTTGCGTGATTCTCACTGTGAAAATCACAGTGAGAGCACGCAAGCGTCCATAGGAAAGCATTGTAAATGCTTTCCTATAAGACCGGCTGAATGTGCGCGCAGCTCCTGCCGCGCGTGCGCATTCAGTCGAATGGGAGGAGAGGAGGAGGATCAGAGGAGGAGAGCTCCCCACCCGGCGCTGGAAAAAAGGTAAGTTTTAACCCTTTCCTCTCCCCAGAGCCGGGCGGGAGGGGGACCCTCAGGGCACTATAGAGCCAGGAAAACGAGTATGTTTTCCTGGCACTATAGTGGTCCTTTAATATCTGTCCCGGAGGATGTCCAGTATTAGGATGAAACGCGTAGGACCACTGCACTTTATTTGCATTTTATATTGTTAATAAATTGAATTACTTGATAACTATCCTGACAACTGTTCCGGTTTATTTATATTTCTGTAGATTTACACCTGTATCCCCATTTTATAAGAGATATCTGTTAATCTTGGACTTATAGGGAATGAGGCACAATGGAAGAGGGACAACTGAGCTCAGATAGTGACGGGTAAAGATAAAAAAGGGTGTTATGGTATATATTGATCAACTGCATCAGATGTTAGGAGTAAAAACTTTATATAGAAGGGGAAATGGATATGATTGGTGGAGTTACATGCAGAAGGGAACTAATTGTGGGAAAAAAAGAGAAGTGGAATTAAATGGGGAAGAGTGGGCAGCAAAGTAGCTAAATAGGAATGAGGGCATAGGAAATGAAAAATGGAAAAAAGGAAATAAAAATAAAAAGATCTGGGCACTTTAGGGGTTATTTGAGTTCTGCAGAAAAACTGCTATTTGATCTTGAAAAATAAAATTCACCATCACTTGGTTGTAAACCATGTTCATAAGTTACTGTGGTTATCTCCTGTAAATGTCATTGATATGTTCAGACAAAGCAATTCTCACCTGCATCGTGTGCATAGAACTCTCCTTTCTGTATCATCCTCAACAGGAAGCGAAGACAGATCACGGATAGCTACTTCTTCGTCTGACAAGTCCATTTCAGTTCTTTGGTCATTGCCTTCCTTACAAGTATCTCTGGACAGAGGTGCTGCTTTCATGGAAATTAGTTCTTTGCTTGGCTGTCCAGATGTTTCCAGTGACGAACCCTCTGATTCACAATTTGATAGCAGTAGCTGACCATTATCACAACTATTAAGACACTGACAGTCAGAATCAAACGTTGAAATGTGTGACAATCTGTTGCACAACAAGGATTCACTGTTTTCTTCTGCTTCAAAGGACATCATAAAATGTTTGATGTTAGCAGTTCGGTCTTCCCCTGTAAGGCAACTTTGGAGAAAAAGAACACTATGAGTTTCCTTCAATAATGTTACGGCAGTAGCACTTGCTTTTTCTACTTAAGGGGATCCCTTTGTCACTAGAAGAATCTAATGAAGAGGTTTTACAGAATTTGCGGTGTTATTCATCATATTAGAAATGAAGAATGGGTAACTGAACTAAAAAGGTTGTCATGATAATACCACAGGATCTTCCAACCAGAAAGAGTGGAGATCTCGTTATGGATCTTTCCTGTTATCTGCCCTCCACTATTTTTGGTATTTTGAACCAAACCTTTAACGTAGCAATGTCACTGCCTGGGGTCCTTGCTGACTTCGTAAAGTCCACTCCCGGTGACATTGCCACTGGTGATCCGGTGAACCTGCCCCTCGCAGGTGCTACCAGCTTCCTCCCTCTGCTCCTCGTGCTTCATCACCTGAAGCTGACGTGACTGCTGTACTCTAGCATGCACAAGAGTACAGCATCGAGCTCTATGGGGAATCCTGATTCCATAGACACAGCCAAATTACCTGCAGCGGTCATTGGTCGGGATGAACTCTTAGACTCTCCTTGAGTCTAAGAAAGTCAGGCGGAGGCGAAATACAGAGACAAAGTAGAACCTATTTTGTCTCAGTATAGCTCTTGACTGTGTTGGAACCTCAGTGAAATTCCAATACAGTCAAAATGAGTATTTCACAAAGATTATATCTTTAATACAATTATTATTATTTATAAAGCGCCAACAAGTTCCGTAGCACTGTACAATGGGTGGACTAACAGACACATATTTGTAACCAGACAAGTTTGACGCACAGGAACGGATTGAGGGCCCTGCTCAATGAGCTTACATGCTAGAGGGAGTGGGGTTTAGTGACACAAAAGGTAAGGGTAGGGTAGAAATGTAGGATGCTAGGATAGTATTCATCGAGGGATTAGTGCTTTGTTTTGATGACCGTTTCAGGAGAGGAATCAGGGTGTCGGGAAGGAAAGCAGTTCACAGTTTAATTGATGTGCTTTCCTGAAGAAGTTTTCAAAGATTTTTTTAAAGGAGTGGAGATTGGGTGAAAGTCTAACAGAGAGGGGAAGGGGGTTCCATAGAAACGGTGCAGCCCTAGAAAAGTCTTTAAGGTGAGCATCAGAGGTAGGAGTACATTTCAAAACAGTTTAAGAAACATACAGTAACAGTTAAACGATTCTAAAACTGTAAAAATCCAAAAGAGTGGAAAGCAGAAAAAAAAAAAGTTAAGAACCGCTTATACAGTGGCAGAAATGTCAAAAATAAATAGTATCATCTTAGAATGGAGACATAACTCCAACACATTCATTCACAGAATGTGTGTACTGAATAAAAAAAAAAAAAAAAACAACAATATTATGCTACAGCCAATTACAAATTTACACACATAATAATGTAAACAATAAAAGCATTTGGAAAATAATAATTCATAATCATGTTAAAGGCATAATATTCAATATCATTGGACTACAGTATGTGAGGTTACATCAAAGATGAACCATAACATTACATTTACTGCTGCATCCTGTTTTCGTCTTTAATCTAGAGAAGTTTAAGCCCCATTTAATTTTAGCTATTGTGTCTTATCTTTGTAAATAATGCAATTCAATGTATTCACTGATCTCACATGTCAAGTGGAATCTGGGGCATTAATTATAACTAATAATAATCATTAATTGAGCCTTCTCATTACAGGAGACATTGGCAGCAGTTGACCGGATAATATTGCTGCATTGTATGTCCCAGAAAAGTAAAGAAGCCATTTAGCCAGCTCCTGGTGCCACTCACACTCAGCATGCTCAGCAACAGCTCCCACTCCCTGACTCCCAGCCTGAGTGCTGGCAAATATACGAACTGCCAGTACTGGGAACCTACTCGTGACGTCACAGGTAGCTACGGGGCGACAGCTGGGGCAAACTCCATAAAAGAGCAAAACGCCTTTAGTTGAAAGGTGTGTTTGTGTGTGTAATAGGTGGGAATATGTGCGTTGTATTACTATTGTTAGCGCTAAGATAAAACTGATAGCACCTCCTACACACAAACAGTTCACGTTTTCCTAAAAGGCATGTCAGGTTAACTGAATTACAGCTAGAACTTAATAGTGACAATAATAGATATTAATTATTTTCAGAGATACTATACTAGCTTCGAAATGTACAATGTTATAAGCAATTCTGAGTAGTTTGTATAAACATTGTACATTGTGTAGCTAGGTGTAACTGAATTGTGTTAAAAAACAAAAAACAGAAAACAAACTGTAAACATCACAGCAGATCTGATCCTGAAATTCTGTTATCAGTTTCACCATGGGCACAAAAATAAGAACGTTACCAGTTGTAGCTTCTGTCCCCTGACCCCTTATATTCAAATAAATCATTAATTATTCCAACATTTGAAACTGACAAAGATGGACATTTTCATTTTAGGGGAGAGGATGGGGGCGGGGCAGTTTGGAGATTTTTGGGGAGTTACATTGGGTGAGACTGTGTTTGTAGGGGGTGACAGTGTGTGTGGAGGGGGAGTGTCCATGAATAGGAGGAGTGTGGGGAGGCTGTTTTTCAGTGAGCAGCCTTCCCCACACGGAAATACCTTTATTTTGTTAAAGTTATTGCATGTGGTCCGGTGGCTGTGATACCCAGTCTCGGCTCTGCAAGATGCAGAGCTGCAGACTAAGTTCTAAGTGTCTTGCGAGATCCAGAAGTGTCAGAGTGTTGCTGTGGTAACCTGCGGCAACGCGCTCATTGGCTGGAGATCTAGAGACACTAATTTCACTGTCTGCAGCTTTACACGCGTCGGAGCTGCAGACCAGTGTTGATGGGTCCTCTCTAAGGGCAGACAGATCATAGGGGCTTTGCACTTGGCAGCATGAATTCTCACCACCTTGCCTCTCTGTTTCTCAACCAGGCCTGGGTCATGCCTTTCCTACCCTTCAGACTTTCTCCCAGGCTACTGAACAAAAGGTGGCTGCGCTTCTCCTTTCCTCTCGCCCCCACCACTTGCCCGCTTGATCCTCTCCTGTCTCACCTTATCAGATCACTCTCCTCTTGTATTGTGCCTTCCTTAACACACATCTTTAACTGCTCTCTCTCTTCTGGTGTTGTCCCTGCTGCCCTTAAACATGCTACTGTAGTATCCATCTTTAAAAAGCCGTCTCTTGACCCGTCCTCCTCTTCTAACTATCGTCCCATATCCCTGCTCCCTTTTTCCTCTGGCTTCTGCCCCCCCACTCTACTGAGACTTACAGTCACTAACAACCTAATCACAGTTAAATCCAAAGGGCACTTCCTTTCCCTTCATCCTGTCTCTGTTGGAGTCCCCCAAGGCTCTGTACTTGGTCCCCTTCTATTTTCTCTTTATACTGCCTCTCTTGGCAAACTTATTACCTCATTTGGATTCCAGTACCACCTGTATCACGCTCAGATATACCTCTTCTCCCCGTACCTCTCCCCTGCCATCCTACAACGTGTCACTGCTTGCCTTTTTTCCGTCTCTGACTGGATGTCCTCCTGCTTTTTGAAACTCAATCTCTCTAAAACTGAACTCCTTGTCTTTCCTCCTCCTAATACTTATCCTTCTCCTTCACTCTCCCTTCAAGTTAGTGGTACTCACATCAGTCCATCCTTGCAAGCGCGCTGTCTTGGCGTTATACTTGATTCTGCCCTCACATTTGAGCCTCACAACCAGTCTGTTACCAAATCTTGTAGATTCCACTTTAAAAACATAGCGCGTGGGGGGCGGCGCTAGCAGAGCAACAGAGCGGACACATTTCTTGGAACTCCGTCTCTGACTTTTAAAAACACAGGGATATATGGTGGAATCTGGGCCCAAAAGTCCCCACAAACATCACCGGCATGAGCAGAAAGAACATGGGCAGAAAATCAAAAAAAGCAAAAGCCAAAAAAGCCCCCATGGGAGAAATATTGGCGAAATGCTCCGGACCACGCAGCAGGCTGCATGGTCCAAAATGGCGCTTACCGACGACCTCTCCTCATATTCCTCAGAAGACTTTGCCACAGACATTCTAGAGGGAGCATCCCTCAGACACCCACCGGACTGCAGAAATGAGCCCCCGACGACCCGGTCACAGCCAACCAGCTCAAGGCAATGCTGGCAGAGCTCCGCAAAGATCTGCCGGCAGATATGGCCTATTACAGGAAGGCCATTGAAGGGGCCACAACAAAAATCACACAGCTAGAGGCCAGCTCAAGCACCCACGACGCTAGAACAACAAATCTCAGATGTAGCCCAATGGCAAACCACCACTACCGACAGGCTGGACGCCATAGAAGACCAGAGGAGATGCTATAATCTAAAAATAAGGGGGATACCGGAATCGGTAGTTCTTGCGGACTTACCCCACTACATCAAGCGTTTACTTGGGGTCCTGCTCCCACCGAAACAAATAAAGTCCATGAAACTGGATGGGATGTTCAGACTGCCGAAGTCACCACGAGCACCGACGGCGGCGACAGCAGATCTCATACTGCGGTTTCAGACTCTGGCTGACAAGACCGCGCTTCTGATGCAATGAGGGGAAAAAAAACCCTGCTGTTCGAAGAGGCATCACTAACCGTATTTCCAGACCTTACCAGGAGTACATTGGCCTGGTGAAAAAATCTGCAACCCCTCTTGCACCACCTCCGGTCCAGGGAAATTCCCTACAGATGGGGCACTCCTCGAGCCATATTGTTCACCCACAACGGGACTCTATACAAAGCGCAAGATAAACAAGAGCTTGAAACACACCTGCAATCAACAAGCATACTGCAAGCAGCACAGGCAGCTAGACAGGGACTATCCCAGATAAACCCGGCTACCATCCGAGAATTTGCCCCACGGAATCCCTCCAGAGCCTCTCATGGCGGATTGCCCACTTGAGGAAGCAGACGCCAATCTGCCCATGGGAACTCTCCTCTCCTTTCCATTCCACCATATACACATATGGAGACTTTTACAAAGTTAGAGACTAACTCAAGTCATGTATACCAAGTATCTCCAGGTCCTCTCAGAAACTACTGCATTGTTTGTTTTTTTTTGGGGGGGGGGGGTTTATCTTGTGTTTTTTTTCCAATGTATGGACGCACCCCCTTTATGTTTAAGTTTGACATAACTTGCTACTCACCTTACACGAGCTAACCACCCCAACGAGACACAACCGATTAGCCTAGAAGGTATGCGAACACCAAACACTATGATTACACTACAAACACCCACAATAAGAGGCAGATGCATACCGCAAAGGCATGCCACATAGCCACATGCAAATACCATATCTTACCAACCCCCCTCCTTAGCTGACACTTGAAGGACCACGCTAATATACCCACACAGGCTATCGGCATGGGGCAAAACCCTCTAGGGCAGACACATAGACCGCAGCACTGCACTCTACTCATACCCACAGGGCACACTGATGTTACCACTATTGTTTCTTATAAAGTTAAATGCATTCTAAAAAGTGCAACGTTACTAAATGCCACGATTGTTTTGACTGTCTGTTATACCTGCAAGCAATAGCTTATGTAGTGTCATATATTTGCACAAAAAAAAAAAATAATTTAAAAAAAAAAATAACATAGCCCGCATCCGCCACTTTCTTACGCAATATGCTACTAAGGAGCTTGTCCATGCTCTAGTAATCTCTTGTATGGGTTATTGTAAATCTCTCCTAATTGGTCTTCCCACAAGTTGTATTGCCCCCCTGCAGTCTGTAATGAATGCTGCAGCTAGACTGATTTTCCTCTCCTGTCGCTCCTCTTACACCTCTCCCCTGTGTCAGTCCTTACATTGGCTTTCTGTATCCTATAGAGTCAATTCAAGGTACTAATCCACACCTATAAAGCACTGACCAATTCTAGTTCCTCCTATATCTCTTCACTGATCCGCAGGTATGCCCCTTTTCGGTCTCTCTGCCCATGACCTTCTCCTGTCCGCTGCTCGCACCCGTAAGGCCAACCCACGCTTGCAGGACTTCTCGCAAGTGGCTCCTTTCCTTTGGAATAGCCTGCCTACGACCATCAAGCTCTCACCTAGTCTTCAATTATTTAAAAAGTGCCTCAAAACCCATCTCTTTAGGAAAGCTTATGACCTCCCAGAGTAACCTCTACCTCACATACCTGTCCGTTGCTCTCTCCTAAACGGCAGCATTCTATTCTCTCCTCCAGCTCTGCTTCACTTCACCTTGTTTGATTGCTACCTCCTGTCCTGTTGTGTTTTACGCCCCACTTGCTATAGACTGTAAGGTTTGAGCAGGGCCCTCTTCAACCTATTGTTCCTGTTAGTTTTTGTAATTGTCTAATTTATTGTTAAATCTCCCCCTTTGATAATATTGTAAAGCGTTACGGAATATGTTGGCACTATATAAATACCAGTAATAATAATAATAATGATGGTGTTGTGCCTAATCCTTAAATTCATGAAGTGCCAATTTCAAAAAGCAATAATCAATTACCCTAATATTTTTAAAGATATTGCTGGACACCAAAACCCTATTCAGGATGAGTGAATTGAGTATTTGAGAAAGGGAAAGACACTGACATCAAGTACTTGTAAATAATCAATATAAACTTTATTGACTAACAAAGACTTAATTAATACGTAATCATTCAGCTTAAAGAAACAGTTTAATATCCAGCTTAAAATAAAACCAGCTTTAGTATACATCACCATAAGAGAAGCTTGCTGCACTCGACTCAGAGAACTTCTGGCAGTCAGGCTTGAAGGGGACCCTCTCTTACTGGGAAATCAGCCGAACCAGCGATACATGTCCGTATTACAGGTGGGTAGTACTCCAAACGAGTGCCAAGTTTTCTCGTCTCTTATTAACTTCTTTTATTGATTATTAACTTAATCATCAAAGGGGTGAATAGTCTGTACTTTTTCACCAGTTCTTCTTATCAGTGCAGCCCAGCAAAGACCTTGCAGAAGCGTTGGATGGGACCTGCAGCTGGCCAGGCTTTCCAGGCCCACAACAATGCCATGCCAGATCTGTGCAGTTAATATCTCTTATCTAAAAGCTAGCTACGTTCTCATAACTATCTTGTGAAGCTATGCATGAGTCATTCTGGTGCGGTCTTTTGTGGTTATTAACATTTTCAGTACTGTGCACCGACTATCTATAATAGTTTGATTTGCTCAATAGTAATCAATCACTCATTCTTAATTAATATGGAATATTATTATCACAGATTGGCAAGCCACCGGGCCCCATGCTGGTGTCGGGTTCTCTGTCACAGACCAAGGACCTGACAGGACAGTCTTCCCTATGGTGATTTAGGGGCCGTGAGGCGGCAGCCAGTGCCGAGAGCTGTCTCTGTTACACAGATTGATATCTAAATACATTTATTATGAGTATTATTGCTGTGGAGAGCTGTTATATACGCTGAAACACCAACAATGTAGAGTTCCTAGAAAATAGAGGCATTTGGAACAGGTGAATTTGGGCCCAAATAGGCACTGCCCCCCCTAAATAGAGACACTTGGGAGGCATATAAAATTGTCTGGATATTGAAAATAATGTGGGATATATTCAGAGGCAAAACTTAATTCATAACAATTATCAGTCTCAGAATTTCACAACACACAGGGTTATTAAACTGTGAATTGTAGAAAATTAAAATCAGAATAAAATCTAATAATTAGGCCAAGCTTGCTCAGCTATAATCACAGCCTGGCTATTCTGGACTTAATTTTGCAGTTCGGATCTTTGTTTGTTACACTTCAGAGTAATCCTGACAGGTTTTAAATGAATGTAATGAAATAGAAGATATTATTAACCAAAAATGATTGACACCTGGTAAAAATAAACATATATAAACTTTCCAGCCAATTAGAGAGCACTACAGACAGAAACTGGTTAAAAAGGCACTGTCACTCCCACCCCCACAGTATTTCATAAAGACAGAATTTTAATCAAATACTAATATTTACTATGTGTTGGAATTTCAATGAAATTTCAATGAAATTCCAACCAAGTGAAGAGATTCACTGAATCAAGACGTCACTGGTGACGGCTGCAGGGAAATTGGCTCTATCTATGGAGGGCCTTGCACGATCCACCAAAGACCTCAATGCTGTACTCTTGAGAGTACAGCTCCTGGCAAATGAAGGCGATAACCATGAGGGACCGATTCAGGTAAGTAGAACTCACCTTTGCCGGCCCCCCCAACCACCAGTCCCCCATTGGCGATGTCACCGTTGGGGGTCTTAACAAATTATGCAAAGTTCCCAGATAGTGACATAACGGCTTTAAGTCAACGAACTTAAATAAATAGAGGTATGAAGGTTAATAATTGAGCAACCCTTAATAACAGTCCCTTTGCTATCCCATTCCTGTGTGGTCCTCAGTCTTAGTACTCATTGGACTACCCACTGTGAGCTTAGACAGTGCTCATAACATTTACAGCACACTCTGTTGTCTGGGCATTCCAGGGGGCCTGGCCGCAGCGGAAAACCCTGCAACCATGGGCCACCGGCATACCTTCTGGGCCAGTGCACAGCCATAACGGCCTTGGGCCCGGGGCTACCAGGTGTTGGGCAGTAGGGGAGAGCTGTACTGGAACACATGGAAAGGCTGGAAAGGAGGAGGGTATGGAACACATGAAAGGGCTGGGGGAGTAGGGTATGGGACACATGGAGGGGCTGGGGGCATGATGGTATGGAGCACATGGAGGGGTTGGGGGGGAGGAGGGTGTTTAACACCTGGGGGGATTGTATGGGACACATGGAGGGGTTTAGGGAGGGAGGGAATGGGGCACATGGATGAGGCTGGTGGGAGGTTGGTATGGGACACATGGAGGGGATGAGGGTAGGAGGGTATGGGACACAAGGAGGGGATGGGGTAGAGGGAATGGGACACATGGAGGGGAGGTGAGATGGAGGGGCGGTGGGAGGGAGGGAATGATACACATGAAGGGGATGGGAAGGAGGAAATGAGACACATGGAGGGGCTGGGGAGGAGGAATTGAAGCACAAGGAGAGGCTTTGGGGCCTGAGGGAATGAGACACATGGAGAGGCTTTGGTGGTGGGGGGGGTAATGAGACACATGGAGGGGCTGGGGGGAAGGATGAAATACATGAGTGGTCTGGGGGGAATAAAACACATGCAGGGATGAAATGAGATACATGGTGCGGTTGGGGGTGGTAATGAGACACATGGAGGGGCTATTGGGTGAGAGAATGAGATAAATAGAGGCCCTGGGGGTAAGGGGGGGTGAAACACCTGGAGGGGCTGGGGGCGAGGGAATGAGACACATGGGGGGCAGGGCAAGTTTCTCATCGGTGGTACCTGATGGTTTGTAATTATGCCTCTGTGTCAAGAGTATTACTAGATTCAACAAACACCTGTGGCTTGAGCTCAAAGGAAAACTCAATGACCCTTACACTAACAGGGAAGTGGGAGTATTTTATGACATAAATCTACCTTCCTACATTATGTCCTCTGCTCTATACACATAAACTGCTGATGTTCTCCGGGAATGTAAGCATAGCAAGAAACAAGCACATGCTACTAAGCCAGGCATTTAATTTGATCCCACTATGATACCTAACAGGAGTGCAAAAAGAAATTCTGTACCCCAACACAAACTCCCGAAAGTCATCTGAGTCTCCACCCCTTTAATTAGCACTATAGTATTGACCTTTCCTTTTATTAAAGACAGCCTTCAGAATAAATTGCCTGATGAAAAAAACCCAAAAAACCTGTAATATCCTCCTGCCATCCACCAACTGTAGAGATCTACCCCCAAAGCACCCTAGCAATGCCTAGGCTGATTGTCCTTTTTGGGCACAAATCTTTGTATATACCTATTTGTGCTAGCTGGTCATACAGGTGGAGGTTGCAGGAATATATTGTAGTGGAAATTTTGATAGATAGGTTTGCTACCTGGTAGAGGAAAAGAGACCAGACCGGAAATGTTTCAAAGGTGATCTGTTTATTTGTGCTACAGCACAACCCAAAAAAAAAGAAAAATGAAAGTCATAAAATTTGAAATTACTATGTCCTCTCATCCCTCTGTGTCTCCATTGGTCCCCCAACCCTCTATGTGTCTCTTTGTACCTTCATGTAGCATTGCCAAGAGGATCCCAATGAAGCATCTTCTGTTTCCTCTATCCGATCTGACAAGAAGCTGTTCAGTGCTCTCAGCTAGCAGCATCCTGTAAGACCGGAGAGAGGATACAGAAAATCCACTACCACAGTCCGCTTGGCCATGCTACATGCAGTGACTGGCAGAAGGAAAGCTTTGCTTAGCGAGCTCCCCTCCTGCCGGTCACCTGGAGACTGCACCTTCAGGACCGGTGCTCCCTAGGTGGCAGCCCTGGCCTCAATACGTGGAACATGATTTTACAAGGATGGGTTCCTCTATGTCAGAGAACAAAGATTTTCTTTTTAATAAATTCTTTATTTTCAGTGGCATGAACGCAAAGGTGAAACAGTGGAGGCTTACGCAGAAGCCAGGTTGTTCAATGTATCTCAAATATGTACAGAAAGGAAAAACAATCGGTGGTTAGTTTGCAGAGCATTCTTTGCTGGTGCCTTTTTAGTATGTCTTCGAGCTAATACACATTTTGTCAGTTTGGTTTTTCTCAACTTTTTCAGATTTCTTCATCTACCTTGCGATCATTGAAGATTTTACCTCTACCGTGAGTTGGGTTTGAGGTTTCTAGTGGGTCAGTGTAGTGTCAATCTGTGGGGAGTGTAATGGGTGTGGTTGGGGGGATTGTGGGGTAGATTGGCAGGGATGTATTGTGTGTGGTGTATTGCTGGAAACGTCTCGTGGACCATGGTTCGGTTTAGTTGTGTCAATTTGTGCTCGACCAGGTGTCCCTTTCAGCGCTCCCGGGCAATCCGGGTTGTTAGATTTCCGTACCCCCTCGGGGGAGTGGCATTTCTGTCTACCTATTCTCATGGTATTGTTCTTGTGTTTGCTGTTTGTTTTCTTGCCTTTCCCTTATGGGGAGTGGGGTGTTTTTCCTATTATCAGGGTGTATGTAGCAGTGTTGTGGTTGTGCCATTTAGTAGAGAACAAAGATTTTATACCATAGTTTGAAGTATTAATAATTTTGATAACACGAATAATTGCAATTGGTATAAAAACTTGTACAGAAAGGTGTAATTTAAGGTAATTCTGGAAAGGTATTTGCAGAAAGCACAAAATATAAGAAACCCCTGTAAACATGTAATATACTAGAATATACATATATAATCTACAAAATGTACAGCATAATAAGATAAGGTGATTATAGCAGCAATAATATTACAAATCGTCCCCACAATCTTTCAGCACCAAATGTCCTTGTCAAGGTTTAAGGAAAAGCTTATAGGAAAGTTTTAGTCTCTCTAAGGATTTATTTAGATACGTTATAAGAGGAGGAACTCCTTTTTATATGGATTTCTACTTGTCTCAGTTAACGGAACGCAGCAATGTAGTTGGCTGTAAACTGTACCATGCGGCCTCAATAATAGATGGAGGTGAATGTTGGCAGCAAGTGAGCTTGTAAACAGATCGGACTGTACTAAAAAGTGTGTCTCGTTCTGTTTTTTTCCATGCTTTTTTTAGATCAGTCCATTTATT